TTTATTATTTCCTAGGAGGTTATATTGTAGGTTCAAATCAACTTCGAGAAAAATATTTGCCAATGAGTTATGAATTTCAAGTAGAGAAATTAAAAAATTTAATAAAAAATAAAATGATTAGTATAACTGTTGGTGAAACTTCTTTGTGTCCAATGTGATATTTTTCGATTTATAAAAGTATATTAACTGATAAACACACAGCTTTAAAAGAAAAATTAAGTTTCATGTATTTTAATTTTTCTGAATATTAATTTTGGTCGGAATTATTATGAATTTGCCCAAAAATTATGAAAAAACAAAGCATCAGCTGGACACCCTATCACGAATTAAATTTTAATAAGTTCGATATCCCAGATCTGCATAACAAATTTCTATCGTTGATCAGCAGACCACCAATTAATTTAATCAAAAAGTATCAAAAGGCTTGTAACGATTCCTGGAGAATCAAACCATTTCACTTTTCTACAAGTTCAATTCAAACTCCTTTCTTTAATTCTACCCCTCCTGCTAATTTACTTTATACAGCCACATTATCATACCCTTTATCAATCTTCATGGCATGAAAAATTGGCTGTTGAGCTTGATAATTCTACATCTGGAATTGGTGAATGCTTTTGTTAACATTTTATTATGTGTAATTTATACAGTAATGCAAGGTCTACCATATATATTTTTGGATTTGACTTGTGTAAATCATTTTTCACCTATTACTATACTGTTTGTGCCACTGCTCTTGATTCTGCCAAGGCAAATCCATAATTGGCAGAGATCCACTTAAAGGATATGTGAGCATAATAATTGACAAATTTTCTTATTTAAAAAATTTTTATAAATAAATATTTATTATTAAATAAATATATTTTGTATTTTGTTGATTGAAAAAATTATTTCCCATCTCAATACTTCACAGTCAAGACTTGTATCATAACATAATATATGTTAAAATTATATAAATATAAATATAAACTGAATGTAAATATGATGAGCCTTAAATATTATCTTTTAATTATTAAATATTTTTTAATTATATATTAAGTTATCAAGAAAAAAAATTAGAATAACTATTAATTAAAAAAATTATTACAAGGAAAGATAAAAGTACTTAACATAAATCAATGACAAACATACAATTATATTGGTTTAAAATTTATAGAGCCATAGCTGCCCTTAACTCTGCTAATTCTTCATCCTCTTCATTTTCCTCCTCTTCTAAAACTTTGAGATCATAGATTAATAATAATATTAATGGTACAAGTGATTATTGTTTTTATTATTATTATATTATTATTATAAATAACATTTTTTTTAAAAATTAAAATTTTTGCAAATTTACCAAGTTTTTTTGCTGGTACTGAAGGTGCTGCAAGTGGTAATTCAACTTCAAGCAATTGTTTATCAAGATTTTCTTGTTCTAATTCCTCTAATTCTGCCTCCAACTCTTCCTAAAATAAATAAATAAGTTGGATAAATGAACAAAAAAACAAACAAACAACCAACCAATCAATCAGTGAAAGTAATTACTAACATCATCTAAAGGGATCCCAAGCATTGGACCAGAAATTGCATTTGAAATCTCATCAGACAAATCCATTTGTTCACGTATTGAATCCATTGTGTCATCAACTTTATTTATATCCCTTAAATAAATAAAAAATGATGTTAAATAATTAAATATTTAATGTATTTTATTTAATAAATAACTCACATAGATCCATGTATTGTTTTCATTGCCTCTGCACCTGTTTCCATAGCTTTAATAGTTTCCAAATTCACATTTGCACTTTCAATGGCCATAACTTGAGTCTCAATTGTAAATTTTGCCCCTGATAATTTTTCCATTTGAGTTTCATATTGTTTTTTCCTTTTCAAAGCCATTAGTGCAGCTGTTTTTTTAAAAAATAAAATAATATTAATATTTTAAATATTGTAAAATGTTTATTGATTAATTATAAGAATAAATCGCATATAAAGATTAAGATATCAAAGTATTTATATATATATAAGAATAATTATTAAACATGATATCTTCTTTGTCATATACTTCTGTTCAATTTCTACTTTAAAATATTCTTTATAACTATGTGAAAAAAAAAAGTAAACTAAGAACAATTCATTATTGTAAAATAAAAAAATGGTTTAATAAATGAAAAAAGCTTGTGTTTCATACCTCTCTTGTTTGTAGTAGCATTTGATCTTGCTGTCTTTATTTCGGCATCGATTTTACTCTGTAAATGATTCTCTCGCTTTTCCAGCATTTGTAGAGTGTCTCGAAGATTAACAATAGCATCTTTTGGGGCGTTTTTTTGTTTTTTTTGAGGGAAAAAAAGTTGCATCTTGAATGAATTATTACTACTTGAAATTAATTTTAGTGTATGAGTTGGAGGATCTACATAAAGTTTGGCGCAAATTTACTATATATATAAAAAATTCCACCTTCCCAATATAAAAAAAATTTTTTTCTTATTAAATGTTTTAAAAAATTTTGATATTCTCTTTTATTATTAACTTATTTTATGAAAATAGCAAGCATATACTAAAATTTTGGCATTATAACTATAAAATTTCCTAATATTTTAATTTTGCAAGTTTGGTAAACATGGAAGACTTATACGTCATCAATACTATTCTCCAATCAAAAATCAATCATATGATAAGGGCATTGATTTTTAACATGTGGCTTTTTGTTTGTAAAAGTAGCTCTTCTGTGTCTAGTTGTTTGTAGCAACCAATGCAAACAGCATTGTATTTATTTTGTTTGCCTAATACTTTAATCTATCTTACTTGCTAAAAATCAATCAGCAGAATTTTGGCAGTCATTAAGAGCAACCTTAATCTTGTCAAATGGTAGTTTTTTGTCTTTGTCACAATTGGTTTTGATAAGAATTCAAGAAACAATTAATTATTTTTATTTTCCCCAGTTTAATTACCCATGTCAAATCACATATTTTTTTACATTTCACCTTTTTATGTTTTCCAAAAAAATTAGTTTAGTAAAATTCATGGATGAAAGACTTTTCTGCAATCAGCAATTATTATATAGTGTGAGCATGTGATCTGAGGTTTTGATAAAATAGGTATTTCTATAGCACTTACTAGTGTCTAATAGTATATATTTTTCCAAGATCTTGTGGATGCGAAACATCCTAGCATCCTTTTGTACAGTGATGTAATTTTTCATAAAATAGACTATTTCGGGGCCAAATGGTGCATTGATTGAGTAGTCAATTCAAACAGTATTGTTTCTAAAGAATTTATTCAAATAATATTATTAAATGTATAAAGTTTAACGATTTTAATGTTGCAAAAATTTTTTTTTTGATACATCACTCAGTCCAAAATCAATCATATTTATATACTTTAAAGTTTCTTTATTGATAAATCCTTGTGTGTGAATTCGAAATCTGCGTCAATTTGAAATTCACGCATGAAATTCAAATTAGCCAATCAGAATTTTGTATTCAAATACCCATCCCAAAATTTATATTCACGCACAACAAAAACACACATAATAAGTGTACATAGCTTGTAGCCTAGGTCCTGTAAAATATCTATGCAAAATTTCTTGTTGTCTGATTTTCTATGTCATTATTATTATTGATTATTCGAAAAAGATATAGGAAATCAAACTTTGCATGCATAATTTATAGGGCCTAGTACTAGGCCACACCACATAGTCAACTCCGTTATTCCGTTTAATATTAGGTTTAGCAAATTTGGTTTAACGGGGTGGATTTACTGTTTCTTTGGTTTAACAGGGTTTTTTCGGATTAACAGGGTTGACTACATAGTTGTGTACTTTATTATGTTAATTCTAAAATAAAAAATCTGTTTTACTGCTTTAGAAATAAACAATAATTTATTTGTTTATATGTTATTATATAAATATATATACCAAAAAATAATAACCCACTCTTAATTCTATCCAATTAAATTCAATTAAAACTTTGAATATATTTGTAAAACTAAAGGTAATATACATATATATAAAGAATGGTTGATGTTTTTTATGCAAGATATTTCCTTATTTGTTTTTCTTTGGCCAAGATTGACAAGGTTTTTTATAACAAAATGAACACATACTTTCCATCCAAACTTAACTTAATGTTAATGTGAATGTGAAACAAAAATTTTAAAAATCCATTATGACAAGAGTTTGATTATTATTATAGTTCGCTGTGACAAAAGTTGACATATTAATATATATATTACATTTGATCAACCATAAAAACTAGGGGTAGGGGGGTTCAATACGAATGTTACACACTATGATTTCGCAAAACCAAAACTGTCCACTATATTAATT